CTATATATATATATATATATATATATAGTTGCCTTTTCCAGAAGTGATGTTAGTAAATAAAAAGCTTTTTCTCTGTGTTTTTTATTTATTTATTTCTGGACGTTGTTCGAGGTGTCTAGGCTTACGTTGTAGTCTAGCGAGATCAGGTGTAGACAATTATTCCGCCGCCGTGCCACTAGCAATGTCATCTCCTGTGACTGAGTCTGTAGGTGCGCTACGGACGGGTGATATTGTGCTAATGGATCGCAGGTGCATGGCGATGCGTCATCCTGTAGGAATGGTCATCTGTCTCCTCAACAAAACGGAGTGTCGTTTTGACCACGTCGCAATGATCATGAAACTCAGTGAGGAGGAACTGCGGGAGGAGGGTCAAACGAGTATTGTGAGTACCACGGGTTCAATCTCACCCTCCGGCACGTATGTGCTAGAGACCAATCTTAACGGTATCACCTTGAGATCGCTAGAACACCGTGTTGCAAGGTCTTCAGCAAAACAAATATCGGTCAGGTTATTGCACATGGAGGGGGATCGTTCACAGGCGGAAAAGGTTATGCTGGAGCATTTAAAGACGGTGCCGAAACACCCCTACAAGAATAGCTTTTTTGAATTTTTGCCTTCCTTTTTTAGTACGCCAGACAAAATGGATCGCGTAAAGGCCGCGCACAAAATACACCTCCTCGCCAAGGAAATAGCGAGCATTGACGCTCTTAAATCTGATAAATGTTCAACAGAAGACGCTGCCATTTTACGCCGCCTACGACAGATTTACATTGATGCCGCAGTGTTTCTTGGAGATGTGTATTTCCCGCATTTGAAAAGATTGGACAAGAAGGAAGTTGCTCCTATCGATTGGAGCGAGGGTCACTTTGCGGTGGACGGCAATAATACGGACCACGGTGTCTTTTGTTCCGAACTTATTGTACGCTTGTGGCAGGGAGTTGGGATGGTGACTGGATTTCCTCCTGCGTCTTCGTTTCGTCCGTTGGATTTTTTAGATGATGCTCGATTTAATTTTTTGGGTCCTACAAGGTTCGTTGGAAGCATCCTTCCTCTAACCAAAGGGGGATCTGCCCCCGTTCTGATGTGGCGTGATGCTGAAGAGGAGCCAAAAACGGTCGCGGGGCGGTTGAATTTTTACCGTCGTGTGACCGGCGATGTCTCCCTTGAAAAAGGGTTGATGTCCATGCGTCACTGGTTGATTCAGTCAAACACACATCAAGCGGTAAGCAACGACCTGGGCATTAATTTGTTTTCTATAGGTGTCTTGTTTGCGCTCGCTGGATGGTTTCTTGCGCCTCTTCGCCTACGATGGATTGAGTGCCAATTGGGGGTCACGCTGCGTCGCGGTGGGATGTGGTCGTTAGCGGTGGGGTTTCTGGTACGAGATCTCTGCTGCGCCATGACACAGACACTTACCGCCTGCATCACCCTGCGTTGTATCTCCCCACCTCAACTCGATTCGGTATCCCCCTCAACTTTGTTGGGGCCCCCGTTGTTTGTGTCCAACTTGTTTGACACCCGTCACCCGTACTATCACGTCTGCGCGGTGCTGCTAACTGTAAATGCGGTGGCCCATCTAACGACAACACCGTTACTAAACGCGGTGGTGGCACACCACTTTGGTCCTGTTAGGCCTCGTCCCTGGCCACTCCGCACCCTCATGCGAGGCGTCGTCTCTCTGTGGCCGATGGCTATTCTGTTACCGTACCAGGCCGCTTGGACAACTTGGTATGAAACTGCCGGCTCAGCGTTTATTCCAACACCTTCTTCCCTTCTGCGTCGAAGATGCGATTTGCTGGATACAAACGAGTGGCGGCATTTCAAATATGAAGCCATAGCTGGGGCTTTTGCAGCTACTACTTTCCTGGATCTTGTTTTTTACCCGCTTCAAACCCGCTGCCGGCGTTCATTTATTTCGGAACTTTATCGACCTGCACCATCACCAAGCTGCGGAAGTCGACTCTACGCCGGGTACAGTTTTCGTTTTGCCGGTAACATTATAACCATGGTAACTACGACGATATTTTTTCTTTTTTGGGAGTACTCTAAAAGAACAAATGTGGTCCAATGTATCGTCTTGTAGCAGCATACATAAACAGGAAGGGGCATATAGAGTTAACCGCGTAGCGTTTGCGTCACTACCGTCCTATTGTGCTTGAAAGTAAGCAAAATACAGATTCTATTATATATATATATATATATATATATATATATATGCTCCTGTTGATGTGTACCTGTTTACGTGCGTTTCCATCTATTCGAGAACAGCAACCATATGTTTTTTTTTAAATGTTTATTTTGTCCTTTTTTTTTGCTTTGCTTTTTGGCTTATCAATATTTGTTGTTCTGTCGAGTTTGAAACCCACCCACCGTCCCTTACAAGAGGCAGAGGGAGGCGGGTGAGATAACCTGTGCTTTCGGGAAGATTGTTTTTGCTTAGTCTTTTTTTTTGTTCTCTTTTGTTTGTCACTTGTATAGAAGAATAAAACCATCCGACCTT